TCAGCAGAGAGGCATACAAATGCACGTGTAAAGATAGACACACACACTTGCACAGCTGGTACTGTGGGTGTGTGTGAAGGGGAGGCCTGTGAGGTGTTGGTCCCGGATGGCCAGTGGGCACAAAAGCTCGTCCACAAGTCCTGATAAGGACAGAGCAGGAGGTGTGAACAGCAAAACACAACGTGTAATGGATCCCCTCAATTACTCATTTGTTTATGATGCCTGTGGCTCACTTGGCTTTGTGCAGAATGAAGCTTGTGTATACACATGTGTGTGTGTGTGTGTGTGTGTGTGTGTGTGCACACTGTGTGGATGTTAGTGCGTGTGCATGTGTGTGGCCATGCATACACCCTTACATGTGACTGTTTCTTCCGTTGTATACTCATCTGTTGAGCCGCCTGTGTGTTACTATGAATGGATGCGCTTCTGTTGTCTACCTCCTCATGCCTTTCAGTCTGAGCAGCAATCTACATTTATTATCAATGTCAGACACACAAAAGAGACTGGGATTAGTCTCCAAGGTTAGGTCCTACCTCTTCCAGTGCTGCTTACATGGCTGTAATGGTTATTGTGAAGGTTATTTTGCTCATCATTTCTATGAATTTCTTGTATAAAGTTACACTAATAAAATGCAACAATTAAGGCTAAACAGGACAGCAAACAAGTTCAAAACAAAGAGACCTTAAAGTTAATGTCATTTTGAAAGCCTGCATTAAACTCTTGAGCTTTTTCAGAGTGTGTTCTACACTTTACACCCTACTGTAGCAGGGGCCCCCTGCCCTTCCTCTCTTGATTCATGTCTCTATCATGCAATTTTCTTTTACAAAGTCAGTTTGCTTTCTTTCCTTTCTCTTTTGGAACCCTGATTTCCTTTTCTCTGGGAAAGACATGACAGTGTATATTGGTGCTCCAGCAGTATAATCAGTCACTCACTCAGCTCTCGTTGGATTTTGAGATGAATCCTAGTGCGAACAATTTTATGCCTTTAAAGGTGATATGTATAAAATTTAAGGGGATTTGGTGGCGTCTAGTGGTGATGATTGTAGATTGCAACCAACTAACTACGAACTACCAACTACTCGGCCAGAATTCCTTCAGATTTTATTGGGGAAGCACAACAGTATCAGCACATCATCGGTATTGGCCAACATGCTGATAGAACAGTACATCATCGTCATCGGCTGATATTGGCTTTAGAATCAGAATTGGCCAACAAACTTTCTCTTATTTTGCACAATCAGTGAATATTACATACATTAAAACACATTCTATTCATGTCTCCATCTGCTGGTGGACCTTCAGGATAAGAGTATGCATGCATAATATGATGTTAATTCCATGACAGAAGAGACTTGATGATCACTAAAATTATGTGGTTAATGTATATATCAATATTGGTAGTGGTTATCAGCCAAATAAGTTGTTATATATCGGCATATCAAATATCAGCAAAAATCCAACATTGTGCATACCTAGTATTCATTGTTACATGGAGGTTTTTACAGGGAGCTGAATTATCCACAGAGGTCTCTTCCTCTCCAAAACAAATGGCCCAGGTGCTTAAAACTAAATACTGAATAAAGCAAAAGTTTCATATTACAAATCAGTGTAACTCCAATGCTGCTCGTTGCAGAGGGGCTTCTAACCACACTGGCAGACACAAAAACCTGAATGGCCCTATCTAGAGCCAGTGTTTGGTTTGTCTGTTCAGGGCTATTATAGAAACATGGCGGGGCAACATACTAATCTCCATAAATGAGGACCCACTCCCTATGTAAATATAAACAGCTCCTTTTAAGGTAAAGAAAACACAGTTTTCATTTTCCAGTGATTATACTCTAAAGAAAACATACTTATTATACTGTATTATATTCCATTGCTGGGCGGCTGTGGCTCAGAGGTAGAGCGGGTTGTCCACTAATTGAAGGATCAGTCTTTGATCCTCAGCTCCTCCACTTCGCATGTTGAAGTATCTGTGAGCAAGATACTGAACCCCAATTTGCTCCCGGTGGCTGTTCCATCGGTGTGTCAGTGTGTTAAAACTGAGTAGCAGGTGGCACCTTGTGGGGTAGCCCGGGCCACCAATGAATGAATGTGTGTGTGAATAGGTGAATGTGACTCGTAGTGTAAAAAGCACTGTGAGTGGTCAGAAGAGTAGAAAGGCACTATACAAATGCAGGTCCATTTACCATTAACCATTCTGCCAATACAGTGCCCTAAATCTTACACACAGGACCTTTAAGGGGTGAGAGGGGCCTCAGAAAGCTTCCACTATTGTTTATACAAATGCCAGTCTTTCTTCAACTGATTTATTCAGCGAATTTGATAAAAAGATAGAAACACCTTTGAGCATCCAGCACACACCAAGCCTCAAACCTAATAAACATTTTTCAGTGTCAGCACAGGTAAGAGTTTCAGAGAGGTAGTTAAAGGGATAGTTCAGAATTTTTGAAGTGGGATTGTATGAGGTACTCGTCCATAGTCAGTGTATTACAGACAGTGGATTTCTGTCAGTACGTCCACAATTTGGAGGCTTGGCTGGAGTGCCCAGATGGAAGCTAAGCAATGTACTGCTGAGGAGTGGTCTGCAAATAAACATATTTTACCAACCTAAAAAAGTCGCACCTAAGAAAAATCTATGACAGATTAAGTGTACGCTATATTGAGAATATTTTCAGTGCTTTACCTTTTTGTCAGACAGGTTGTTTCAGCGGGGAAGCTAATAATGGCTTCAGCTCCACATTGATGCTCTCTTCAAAGCCATCTGACTCCATTGAAAAAAACAATAACTCAGACTCACTAAACATGGGAGCTGATGGTCTGCAGCCTCTTTGATCAGTTAGTTAGTTTGCATAATTGTGTGACTTCGGTAAACTCAAACTTACCACTACCAAAGTCACACATCAACACAAACCAAACAAACATAAAAAACATAACTAATTGAGGATCAGCAGCTCCTGTGTTCGGGAACTAATATTTTTTTCAACCTGGGCCCTATTTTCTGATCTACTTTTGTTAAAAAAATTCAGCCATGACTACTCCAAACAGAGTAACTCCTGGCATTTGTAAGGTCACTCCAGCGGTAACTTCCTGCAACAACTCAAATCTCGCGAGACCAACTGTTGTAAAACACCAAAGAAGAAGAAGAAGAATCTCACGAGACATGAGATTTCAGAGCCAGACTTTCACTCTCTGAGTGAATGTTTTGACTTGCCACAACAAACATGTCTGAATTTTGACCAACTGGATCTGGATGAGCTATTTGAATTTGATGACCTCCCGTATTTATTTGAACACGGAGTACACGGACTTACAAGGATGCAGAGCCGGACAAAGAGAGAGAGAGGGAGCAGCAACAAGCAGAGGAACATATCCGAATCCAGCTAAAGGTAAAGACAGACGTTCATTTCTCCTTTCAGTTATGTTGTTGGATAATTATACTAACAATCCGAGCCTATCTGTGTGAAAAAAATGCACTTTTAGTGGACGTATTTTGATGTTGTTTGACTCTGTCTGAATGCCCTATTATTTAACATAGCGCACGCTAACGGGCTGCAGGCAGGTCAGCCCAAGCTTCGTACTGGAGAAATGTCAAATATTGAACATCCTATCACTCATTTAGACAAAAGTAGATCGGAAAATAGGGCCCAGGTTGAAAAAACATTAGTTCCCCTTTAAGTCACTGTTTTTCTCAATGAAGCGATATGGAGCAATAAAACAGCTTCAGTTCCATTTTGGAAATCGCTGTCTGATGGAAAGGTTTTGCTATGAAAATACTGTCAATATAGCATACACCTCAGCTGATATTTAAAGTGACTAAAATATGTTTTTATTGCTGACTCCTCCACAGCAGTACATTGCTTAGCTTCCTTGCTGGTACTCCAACCTTCCTCCCCCCATCTGGGGGGCGTGCCGACTGCCATCTACTGTATGTAACACATTGACTATGGATAAGTCCCTCATACAACTCCACTTCAAAAAACAGAAACCATCCCTTTAACATTGCAGGTCTGTTGTATTGCTTTACATCACACTGTCCAGGGGCTTCACTCAGTCTATTCAAGTAGTAAACTATGTTGAAGAGTTGAAGTGATATGCTAAGGCACCTGTTTTGCTGCCTTTCTGTTTTCTGGCTTCATTAGTAGCCCCCTCTCCCCCCACTGATGAACCTAATTAACAATATTTGAACTTGTGCAATACAAACAGAGAAATACGCCATAAGAACTGAGAGGAATTACATTTGCAAGTCCCAGTCTCACTTCACGAGTCAAAGTGACCCAAATGTACTTGAATAGTAGTAAAAAAGTACACTTCTGTCTGTCCACTCCTTGTTCAGCCACTTTTATCTCCATCATCAGTGAAATTATGTCAGGAGCTATAAAAGTACATACAACATGACTGGAGCATGTCGTATTTCACCTCCAGCAACAAATATCACGGTTGTTTTGAGTGATGCAGAATTCTCCCTTGATGCTGAATCATATTTCGGGGGCATCCTCCTTTCCTAAGGCAGCACTATCTAGGCCCTTTTCTGTATTTTTCTGTCTGGCTGCAGTGCGCCGGAAGCAGACCATAACGGTCTCTGAGAGAGCCAGCCAGGAAACGAGCTGTGCGCTCTTCTCCTACCCGTTCTCCGCTCCTCCACAGAGCCCAGTCATCATTACCGGGCACCGTGCCTTGCCCCCCCTCCCTTCACTGTTTCTACTTTCACTCTCTAGTCCTCCCTCCCCCTTGTTCCTATGTGCGTCGAGAAAGTCTCCTCCTCTCAGAGTCTGAGCGCACGTCTCCTCTCCAACCAGGCTTTACGCGCGTACAAACTCTCCAAGAGAATCCCCTACGGTCGGCCCCTCCCCTTTCCGTTTCTTGCCGCCCTCACTCATTCATGACCCCGGATCGGTGACGTAGGAGATTCCTCGGTGCCCACTGCCGTAGGCAATTACGGGATGCTTGAGTATATATGGGACACTGGTAGCCATCAACCGGCACACTCTCAGTCGCTCCGACTCGGGAACCAGGGCATCAGCGGAGATAGCAGGCTTTACTTCGCCCTCTCAGGCTAACTCGCTTTGGGCTTTGGTTCAGAATGGACACCTCTTCGATTTCTCGGAGCCGACGATGCTCCATCATGCGCAACTGCAAAAGTAAGTTTGTCTCCGTCTTTGGTTTTGGATACATGAACAGAACGGACATAGAACTGTTCTGTTTTCTTTTACTTGTGCAACATATTCTTTTTTAGTTTTTAATCTAAGTAAGCTTGATGTACTTTGAAATATTGCATGAAAAATCGACAAATATATATTGGATGGATGATACAAATTTTAAAGGAAACCCGGTAGTTCTGTCAGACTATTACTTATTTTATGACTTATAATAGTCAGACTGCAGAATTTTCAAGTGGAATATAGGACGAACTTTGTGTTAACGCAAAGATATTTTGACATATTTTGACACTTTCCCGACCATGCTGTGCGTAAAGGCGCAGTACTGATGCGTAAACTTAACTTATTGTACAAATATAAAGCTGCAAAGTGTGCTTCCTGTTATTCTAGATAGAATCACAACTGAAATAATGCAAATTTTCAATAGTTTTGGCTCAGTATGATGTAACGTGTAGTAACTGATGATATCAGCACCACGGACAGCTCCCGCTAACCTCCCTCTCTTCCCGCTCTCCTCCAGGCGGTCTCTCTCTCTGGCTGGTGGTGTGGCTGGTCCTCGGCAAGCCAAGTCCGGCATCGGCGTGCCCGCACCTGTGCGTGTGCTACCCGAGCCCCATGACTGTTAGCTGCCAGGCGCAGAACTTCACCGCCGTCCCGGTCGGAGTGCCCTATGAATCGCAGCGCGTTTTCCTCCAGAATAACCGGATCACGGAGCTTAGAGTTGGCTCTTTTGGCTTCGGGACTCAGGTAAGAAATAGTGTGGAAAATAGTATTTAAAAGATGGGAAGGAGAAGAGTTTTTAGGAGTAGAAGAGTTCATGTTTTTGTAATATTTTTCACATTTAAAGTTCAGTAATATGCACTGACAAGTATAATCACCTTCAATTCATTCAGGTCCTGTGGCTGTTCTCTAACAACATCACGTGGATAGAAGCTGGGGCCTTTAGTGAGCTGAGGGACTTGGAGGAGTTGGACTTGGGGGATAACCCCAGCCTCCACAGGCTGGAGGGGGGAGCCTTCCGCGGCCTTGAGAAACTCCAGAGCCTCCACATGCACCGCTGCCGGCTCACTGCCCTGCCCCATGACATCTTCCACAAGCTTTACAGCCTGCAGTTCCTCTACCTGCAGGTAGGGGCGGTGAAGATACATCTACTGCATGCAGATAACTGACACACAGTTATACACATACACATGCAGCCACCCACACAAACACACAGCATCACAAATGTTCATTTACAAATATTACAATTCCCAGTGTGTCTGCTCGTTTCATGCTAACCCTTCCTTTCTTTACCTCCTCAGGAGAATAATCTTCACTTCCTGCAGGATGACATTTTTTCTGACCTCATTAACCTGAGCCAGCTTTTCCTGCATGGCAACCGTATTCGCACTCTCTCAGAGAATGTGTTCCGCGGCCTGGTCAACCTTGACCGTCTTCTCCTCCACGACAACCGCATCAGGCAGGTGAACCGCCGCGCCTTTCGTGACCTCGGCCGCCTGACCATGCTCTTTCTCTTTAACAACTCCCTGGCTGAGCTGCCCAGTCAGACCCTGAGGGACACGCAGGGCATCGAGTTCCTCCGCCTCAACGCCAATCCTTGGTCCTGTGGCTGCGAGGCCCGCCCCCTGTGGGAGTGGTTCCGTGAGGCCCGTGTCTCTTCATCTGAGGTTATCTGCGCCTCCCCTTCCACCCGCCGCAACCAGGACCTCCGCTTCCTTCGCGAGATGGACTTTGCCCTCTGCCCCCTGCCTGACCCTGGCTCCATTGCAGGCTCCACCACCACCACCTTCAGCACCAAAACCCGATGGTGGTTCCACAAGAACAAGCCCCAGTCATCCACGAAAGGTGTGTTTGAGAAAGCCTCAGAGACTGTCAAAGCTGGTTTGTATGGGAAAGGCCCATCCACAACCACCTCAGTAGTCAAGTACGAGTTGGGAGAGGAGGAGCTGGCGCTGCCCAAACTTGATGCAGAAGAGTACTGGGCAAACTACGGCAACGAAGACTCGGGTGTCACCCTGCGATGCTTCGAGCTCGAATGTCCACCTGAATTCGACCTGCCTCCATCTTCCTCTTCTCCCTCATCCACCTCGCCGTCTCTCCTCACCCTACAAGCCCTTTCTGTTTTCAGCCTCTGCCTCAATCTCCACCTGATATTTGGCTGAATCTGACTCTTAGTACAACACCCTTTTCCCTTCCAGCCTGTTATAAGGCTGTGAGGATACCTGTTAGACTCTACACCCCCTTTGCCCGCTTTGCTGTAAGCCAATCCTCAAGGCCCAGCGAGGGAGATGGGGGGACGGTTAGAATCTGAATCTACCACCTACAGGGCTTAATACTTTTCAGAGCTGATAAGAGTTCTTCAGCTAAAGTTATATACATCTACAATACTCTACAGGTATGGCTTTCTGTGTCTCACCTGTATGGTGTCACGTTATGATTCCCTGCAATCAGGGCGATGAGGGCTGAGTCCATCACTAATATCAGTGCAATTTGATAGCAGTTGTGAATGATGTTGTCAATTTTGTCACCTCAACTTAGTTATAACTACTATTACTATTACTGCACCCAATTAACTGGCTGCTACGAATACTACAGTTACTGTTAGAATCAGTGCACAGTAATGACATCACTGTAACCACTTAAAGTGTCATGTAAATAGGTATATATTTTTGTGATATCTGATATGTGTGGTCCAGTGCAATCACTTTCATCTTGATCCAGGAGAGAGAGTTTCTACAGGACAGAGCACAGTAAGGCTGATAGTTTACTATAAGACAATATACTGTGAAGCTGGGAGGAAAAGAGAAAGACAGTGCAGTGCAGGGACATCAACGGAAAAGGACGGGTGGTAAGGAAAGAGACAAGAAGAGGAAAGGAGGGGAGGGGAATTTCAACGAAACAGGATTAGAAAGAGGAAGAGTAAAAAGGAGGAAGGAGGGGGAAGGTGTTCATGCAGCAATAAGAAAAGAGGCAGTGAGAATAGAGTGAGACACTGAGAGGGATAGTGCTGACAGTAGAAGCAACAACCTGCAGAAGAAAAGTAATAAATCCACTGATCAGTGGTTGTTCCATCCATTTGACTCACACCATTTTCTGTCAACGTGGTGTCGTTTGAGACAACCACTGGGAAAGAATGCTTCCTGTCAGGAAGCCAGAGATTTTGGTTTTTGGATGTCTTTCTGTGACATATTGATATACTGTGTGAAGATTGTTGACTTTGATGCAGAAGATCTTGATAAAAAAAATACACTGAATATTTCCTGAATCATGCTTGTCTTATCATTACTAACAAAAAAAGGAATCAAAGGTTCTCCATGTGGTCATTTTGTGTTGAAAGCAAATGTGGGATGAAACAAATGACAACAAAATCTAAATTGCAACAAAAAAGTAGCAGATTGCTGTTGTGTGACTAAACCGTGACTAAAGTGGACTGAAAGGACAAACCACATGGACCTGATGTCACAGACAGAGGCGCTTAGAATGGCACTGGCTGAGATGGACATCTGTCTGTCGGTTTGTGTGTGTGTGTGGATAGATGAGAATGAATGGATTCACAAGCTGGCACCTCTGCAAAAGACAAATACGTCAGTAGGTTTGTCACTCCACTGATTCATAGGTGGGCGATGCCAGATGGACAGACAAGGTTCGAATTGGCTGATTTGTAGATACACAAAGAGAGCAATGAGAGAATTTGGTGACTGTCAGAGCCGCAGAGAGCAGGAGACAAAGTAAGACTGACACATTGACATGCAGATAGACGGATGGACATGATGTGAAGTGATAGAAGAGTGGGCTTAATAGTCAAACTGACAATGAATTTAGTAATGCTGAGACAGCAAATATAAGGAGAAGAAATGTTCTGAGCCAGCAGCGGAAGCTGTGTGAAAAAAGGGAGGAGGAAGTTACCAAATATAGGCATCCATTCTCTCCCTCAGCAGTGTTTATTAGTCCCTCCCTCTTGAAAGCGGCTTTCCACACTGCCTTGTAGGAATCAAGATACTGTAGGTGTGCTGATGTATAGTAACTCCATTTCTTCTATCCCTTATATGCCCATCATTTCTCCTAAAGCTTCCTCCATCTCTCAAGGCCAGAGATGGGATGTAAGGAGAGGGTCCCTCGCCCTGATAGAGGTAAAGAGGGCAAGGCCGAGATGTAGTAGGAGTGAAAGAGTAGGAGGTAATGTTACAGAGGCACACACACATACACACACACACACACACACACACACATACACACACACACACACACGCAGATCCACTCACAAAGCCAGTTAGCCTTGCTTTAACAGAAACAACCTCACACAGTTTTTTTCTCTCTCTGATTCCAAGAGTTACAGAGACACAACTGCCTCTTTGTGATTTTCTGTCACTGCAGTTCTTGATGAAGAATGATTTCAGAAAATATTCACTGTTACCTTGCTGCTCTAACTCTATCATTGAGTCTTGTGGAGGAGGTCAGACTGAGCCCGGGTGCTCTTCAGTGGTCATGACAGTGAGGTTATTGAATGATGCAGCATAAGGAAAGAATAAATTCATACTTGTTTTAACAAAACGTGTTTGTTTGGGCCTTTCATTCTATGTCTTGGCAGCTGTCCAGTCAAACACACACACACACACACACACACACACACACACAGGCACATGCACACACACAAGCACACACTTGTCATTGTGTAAGTCCTCCAGGCAGTTGTCCAGCTTTCTCAACTGTGCAACTACTGAGCCAAGAGAAATGGAGAACAGGAAGCTCGGAGATGAAAACAGAGCCTGAGCAGTGTAAACTCAATCTCAGTGACCCTGTACAGTACAATGATCCAATAACACCATGAACAACACCTCCTCTTGCTCACAGTATGCATTCAAAGAGACAGTGACAACAACAATAGTACGTTAAAGGTTAGGTTCAAATTATTTAAGTCTCACAAGCATTCAACATGACATGAAAACGTCTCTTACTCTAGTGTTAATGGGGAGAGACATCTATTCTGTGTGAAAATGCATTCAGAAATTCAGCTGAAGTTAATGTGTGTCATATTTCTGAGTTAGAGTTTCATTGGTTCTCCTTAGAGCAGGGCTCTCAGTGTTTCACAGACCAAGGACCTCTGCGTTGTAAAATAGTTGGAGCAGGGACCCTGTAGAAGAAAATGTTTTATCTTACAGTTTTAATTTTAATGTGTTATTGTCCTTCCTGTTCTACTCATTAAATTATGAATTGTTAAACAAAGATTAATAGACCCCTGTGTGTTTTAGATACTCAGAAAGGAAAACAGTCCTTGAGGTGTTGAAGAGACTGGGGCTCCAAGATTGATCTGAACTGTATTGGATCTATCAGATTGTATTGTTAATTACCTTGTCCAGTGATTCCTGAGTCTTATAGGACCTGTTGATTAGCTCAGCCCTCTGTTTTGGGCTACCCTTTGACGTAATAGCATAAAAAACTCTGATCTTCAATTTTCAATTGATCTTCAATTAGAAGTCGACACTCTTGTTATGAACTTATTTCTCCACTGCACAGTGAATAAAACTCATCTGAACTAGCTGCAGAATTGGACAAAAAGGATTTTTTGTTCTTCAGCAGTGCCCCCACTACATATATTGTATAAAACTGAGTTTTGAGGTCTTCTCTCCTTTGCGCTTGCTTGTAGCTGCTAAGTCAGCATCAGCTGTATCATCGCTAAGTGTGTTACCCTCACCCTCAACACTTTCGATGGTGTTTTCTAAGATGGATGGTATTTCAGAGTCTCTTGCTAGTAAAATTACAAACAATCCACTGTGGCTCACAAAAATGTCTGTGCACTTGTAGTAATAAAAAAGATGATAAAACTAATTGGCCAATATATTTCAATACTATGTAAATGTTAGCAAACTATGTCATCTTGTCGTTATGTATAAGTGCCGCACGGTGATTTAGCGCTAGCTAGCTTACACAGGCCCCCAGGAAGTGCGCAGAGCTTTGAAGCCAATTTTTGCAGTGACCAAACAGTGTAATTACAACTGCTGGATCCGTCATGTGACGCCATGTGGCCCCGAAATAGTTTTTTTTTAATCATTGACTTAAATGGCAAAAGAGGTGTCTGTAAATCAGTGGCTACATTTTTTCGAGTGTCACAACCCCGTGAAAAGACTCATTTCACTATGAAGATTTGATGCATTCAGTCTGATAACATCTGGAGAGTCTAGAAGAGCGGACCCGTAAACCGTTTGTAGGTGCCATTTCTATGTGAATGTATGTAAGCACCAAATTGAGCCAGCAGGGGTCCTCATTGTGTTGGGTGTAACTTCCTACATAGATAGGAACTTTATGACAGGCGTCAGGTGTTGCTAGACGGAGGAGCACACAGTTTTTCGACCACTCCGCTCCGTCACGTTTTCTTGTTTGTTTGGTGAAATAAATATGGACTTTATCTGCACTTAATGGATTCTTGCACGTTATTGAAGATCCTGGAGACGGTGAGAAATAAAGAAAGCAACCAATGAAGATGCGTAACCAGATGTTGTTCGTTTCATTGGACACAAGTTATAGTCGTACGGTAGCAAGCGCGTCGATTAAGTTTTTAGCCTGTCTATGCAGCCCCTCAGTGGCTTTAAGTGTTAGTTAACCATTTGGCCAGCAGAAGTTAGCCTCTAGGCTACTGTAAGTCTAAACCGCACTTTCACTATGGGCCTTAAAGTGAGGAAGAAGTGCCAGTCTTTTGGGTAATTTCATACCCGACAGTTGAACCATTTTGGCTTAATGCACCAACTTACATTGGAATGAGTGGGGCCTGTTGTTGAATGCTGCACCCAGTTTTATAAATACATCCATGAGTTCACATAATTGTACAAGGATACATGAATAACAGTTAGCCTATCATTAATGTTGTGGACTATAAATTAAATGTTTGCTGTTGCTATTTTTTTTTTCATTAATGGGCCAGTTTAACTACGCTTATATGTTGGATTCATTTTAATATGTATTTTCAGACATATTCTTATTTCTGGGGGAAAAAAATGAACAAAATCTTGGATTAAATTATCAAACAATAATTTGGCGGTGTCCCTGCAGTAACTCTGAGGACCTCCTAAGGGCTGTGTTTGTTTTCTCTCAGCCGAGACAATCCCTGGATGCTACTAAGCAATTGCTGATTAGTTGCTCTGAACATTATTAGAATAGTTTGATAGTCAATCAAATCTTGAAATTTTAGTGTTTTTAGTTTGATAAATAATGTTTTTGTTTGTTCTCTGCTCACCTTGATGGGGCCAAGAATGTGTGTTCCAAGTAAGCAATCCTTCCAATAGATTAGTTGCTGTCCTGTCAAAATACAAACCACACCTGAATAGTTAGTGGTGGTAGTGCACCGTCTTTGCAAATCTCCAATAAACCCCAAAGAAGAAGAAGTGAGTTTGGACCCGAACCCCAGGTTGGACAGGTTTGTGCGCCAGTGATTATTCCAGTGCTTGGAGAATTAATATTTAGCACTACAACTGGGTAAGTAGTCTTCGTCTGCTTTATATTACTAGCCTTTGCACAAAAAGCCCATTCGTCTCGGTGTTAACCTCAGTGCAAACACGAGTTTGTATGTGTTGTGACCTCTCTCGGCCACCATAGATGTTGATTTTTTGTTGAATATAGCAACCATTTGCTCGCGACTTGCACAAAAAATCGGCGTCTCTTCTATTTTCGAGCTTGCTTGCGAAAGCAGCGCGACTCGAAGAATGCGTAGAACGGATGCAGTTTGAATGCTCTAACCTGTTAACATGCTTGCCGAAATGAAAATGCGAGTAAACAGCAAGCGCTACGCGAGTGCATCACTTGCAGTGTAAATGAGGCCTAACAGTAGCTGTTACTGAGGTTTCTAAATAAAACTGAAATTGAAATTGAAATCCTGTGATGTACTTGTCAGTTGTAAGGCAACTATTGCCAAAAAAACAAAAATGGTGGTCATTAGTAGCTCTGCCAGATTTGTGGCTAAATTGTTTGTTTTTGCTGATATTTATAATAAGTTCATTTGTAGCAGTGGTATTTGAGTTTGTTGTTGTCATGGGAACTAAAAAAAATATAGTGATTATTATACTTTTCACATGCACAGTTTAGCAGAGAAGGTGAAGACTTGAATAAAAAAAACATTTTGTTATACAATCATGGGACTGAGTCCTGAATTACACACAATTTTCACTTTGTCCAGCAGTATGTCTGTACCAGACGCTACTCTGAGCAGACAGACAACAAAGCAAACTGAAAGCTGTTGCATACAAAAGTCACACACACACACACA